GGGCCTTGATGAGCTGTTCATAACATTTCTAATATTATTCAAGCAATTCTTCTGAAATGCACGAAAATCATCATCGATATCTTTTAATTTATGAAAATTGAATATATAGAATTGATTTGTATTATGAAAGAAACTATATTACTTTCAAAATCTTAAAATTTGTGCTAATAACAATTTATGAACCAAAAAGAAAGAGCATAGTTAGAAGGTATGTATTATATTCTTCAAAAGGTGCGTCTTTACACCAAAATGTGAGTTTTATTCATAGGACAACAATATACTAGTAAATGATCGATCAGATTAAAAGTTAATAAATTTCTATTACTAATGGAAGGTTATAGGTAGATTAAAAGTTGAACACTCGCATTGACAACATTACATTGGCTGATCAATGTGAAGACGCGGTTGCTTAACCATGAAGCATTGATATAGGACCACTATGTGTCACCACCATTGTGAGAATGCATCCCTCTTTTATTTACCTTTTGTATCTTAGGATTGATTATTAATTTAAGAATTAGGGATTGAACTGCTGTTTGAAAGTAATTAGGTATGATCTTCTAGAGAGTGAAAAATTGTACCGGTTTTGTCTGCAACATGATCCGATCATATTGACATATTGTCGATGTAATATACATTAACTATTTAAACTAAATAATTGAAAAAGATTCACAGTTGAAAAATTCTACACAAATTTTATCAAAGATTTGAATGGTCTGAATATCAAAAGTTGCTAAGAACTTCGCGTAACAGTTAATTATCTCCCTTCATTGGACTCAAAATAGTCCTCTCTCTATGGATCAATGGATAACTTTTTGGTGTTTGTTGCAAAGCATGCACTAAATGGTCTCTTGCATCAACAACTTTATCAGCAATGTGTTGACAGCCAAGTTTTCATTTGAGCTGATATGAATGAACCATCATGTGCATCTGTTATATATCAATGCTCAATCTTGAGTGAAAAGCCAATACTTCCGCAAGATGTTTTGTTCTCAAAACATATCTTCAATTACTTGCTGTATATCATCTCTTGTAAGTTATGTCTTATATTCAGCTAAGTTTGAGAAGTTGCCTGTTCGAGATATTTATAAGTCTTACGATATTTTGATACTCCCATAAGCCAAAAATCAAAATTGTCAACTGTAACTATATTTATGTATTTCTGTCTTGGCTTCTCTACATTTTCACTTTGCCTCACACTCTTTATCTTCTTCACTGGAATGGAAACCTGTACATCACACGCGTATATATACCTTTAAGAATCAACAAAATATTGGAATAGGAAGACTCAGAGATATGAATAGGTTTGTTCATGAATTACCTTATAGCGGATCCTACACATTTGCCCTTTCTTATTAAAGACCTTTATTGATCTGTCACTGCAAAAGGCAACTTTTTCAGTGGAGATGAAGAGGAGACCAGCTAGAGGGCCAGATGTGGTGGACAGATAACAATGGCAAACTTTCAACAGCCTCTCCCCCTCCATCACACTAAAATACTTCATGAACACTTTCTCAATTCCACCCACTTGAAGAATTCGAGCCCCTAAGCTCAAATTCCTTTTAATAGTTTCAGATATGCTTGTCCCTAGTCTCGCTGAAATTTCAGAGTTGCTATCGGCCTTCCTGCTGCGCTTTTTCTGGTTAGAACTTACTCTACCTGAAACATAGAAGCACTCTATATTAGTAAAATCATCAATACTTAATGAAATTAGAATAGATAATCGTGATTTGTCCATCTGTACAGGAAAAGAAAGTCTTACTTTTGCTTTGATGATTGGATGGGTATTGACATTTTTGAGAGGCTAATTCAAGCAAGTATCTGTTATCAGGCTTTTGAAACTGGTCATATATGATTGGAGTTCCAACAACTAGCTCGTGAAGAAGTGAGGTCTGCATGTTGATTGATTAATAAGGTTTGTGTTTTGTCGAGAGGGATATCTAGTAGATAGCAAGGAAGCTAGGTTCACTTGGTTTGATCAGTCCCTTTGTTTTCTAAGGTGGTGATATTTAAAGGGATGAAAAGTAGGATTAAAATGTTAAGCCTTGTGTGTGATGACTCAACCATGATCTTGGTGATGTAATAAAGACATTACTTACATGGGAACTTGATGGACTTTATTGAAGATAATATTTAGATATCATGGATTGTTTGGTTACTTTTAGAAAAACATGGTAAAGAAGAAAGATATAGTAAGTAAGCTTTTAAAAAAAATAAAGTTAACAAGGTTAATTTTAGAGGCTTAAAGAAAGGTTTATCTATCTTGAGGAGCAAGATTTGATGGTGTACAAGACGTGTATGTTAATGTGTCTAAGAGACATAAACTAGTTATTTGGTGAATGATGTAGTAATGATTTGGCAATCTCCTTTTTTAAGAAAGAGTGATACGTACATAAGCATGAGTAGCAAATGTGAAACACCGACACATACACAAACTCCATTCGATTCCATTTCTAGTTTCCGTTGATCATAATTTCATGTTCCATAAGCTTATTCCTTACCATACCATAGCCCTGTGAGCAAGCTTACTTTCTGATATATATACTTTGGTAGAACTAGAAATGCAAGGCCTCTAAAAACATGACGCATTTGGAAAATAATTGGTGATTCGCTTTTCCAAAAACATGGGTGCCATACTGGCATCTCCTAAAAAACAATGTTTGCGGTCCTCCCAATTTCTTCATATTAATTGTGTACTTGAAGCAAATTATTATCCATGAAATCTTGACATTTTCTTACATTTGAGTGAAAGTTATGTTGAGCAGTGAGTGTTTTGGCTGCAAACAGTAAAACTATATGACTGTGTGTTATGTCCTATAGAATATACTCTAGTATAATTATATGTGTTATTATATCTCTTTACTTTTTGTTATCTTATCAAAAAAGAAGTTAAAGAAGGGTGACATCACAAAGTTAAGAATTGCATGTGCACATAATAAGATAGGCTAGTGCCATTCTTTCATAAGCATTACTGCCCAATTGGTGAAAAAGTAATTAGGATCAATCACTTACTGATGTAATAAAGACACTACATACGTACTAGCATGGCAACTTGAAGGTGTTTTATTGAAGATGATAGTTTGACATCATGGATTGCTTGGTTTCTTTTAGAGAAAGGTTTACGTATCTTGAGGAGTAAGATTCCATGGTAATTTGTATATGACATGTTGTCGGCCAATCCTTTGGAGATTGTGGTAATTAAGCAAAAGCCAAAGCCCTCATCATAGAAACTGTTGTAAAGGTTTTCATTTCATAGAAAACAACGGTAAGGGTATATGATAAGTTCCTTAGAGTAACCCATTGTCACAAGTTGAAGCAGTATCGCCATATTGGATGAATGTAGTAAACCCAATCAATAACATCATTGGAAACCCGGATTTGAGGTTCATTAGTGTGCGGAGGCATGATCAATGGATCGAAGAAGGAAGAAGACGTGCAAAAAAGATGCAAGAATTTGGAAATAATGAAAATTAGAACATAAAGTTCATACTGAAATTGAATTGAAAATAGAAAATGATTGAAATGTTTCTCTTGCATATTCATTCATCAAGCAGCACATCTCAGGAGAATGGAGGAGTACTTTAACTATCATGGTACACACTCATTAGATGGTAGCTTGTATGCCAAGTTAACTAACTAACAACCCTAAAAGTGAAATGTAAATAACTTTCTACCTATCTCCTATATTTGATCTAACTGACTCTTCATTGTTTAATAACAAGTAATAATTTTTAAAAAATCAAAGTGATTGAATATAATCACATGTTCACATATTTCATGTTATGTGACACAAGAAACACTATCAATGTAAAATGTGTGCTACATAGGTCACCCGTCCACACTCATCATCAGTAATCAGCCTGACCTACTCCCACCGCTACATGTGTTGGTATGCTAGTCGATTCTACGGCTAGCCATTTAATTATTACTTTCATGGACAAACATTCTGAGCTACACTCATATACTTGTAGCCGAGGAAGATACCCATAAGACAACCTTCATATGTCCAGGAGATCTAGAGATCTATGGGTAGCTAGTCATGTCGTTCGGGCTGAAGAATGCAGGTACCGTGTATCAAAGATCCACGGAACCATCTTCCATGAACTCATTGGTAAACAAATGGAAATATATATATATTAATGAAGTGGTGCTCAAGTCTAACGAATTTCAGAATCATTTAAGGGAATTAGAGCATGCCTTGAAATAAATGATGTTATTTGGCTTGAAGATGAATCCAACTGTGTACATTTGAGATCTCTGCTGGAAAATTTATAGGGTTTCTACATGCACAACAAGGGTATTGAGGTGGACAGAATAAGGCTAAGACATTCTGTGTCACCACCATTGTGAGAATGCATCACTCTTTTATTGCTTCAATGTATCTTATGATTCATTATTGATTACTATTTAGGATTTCTATCTCTTTTAATTAACTATTTAGATTCTGTGATGTTTGAAAGTTATTACTATTAGGTATGATCTTCTTGAAAGTGAAATATTATATCTGTTTCGTCTGTTGCAGATCCTATCCTAAGAGTATCCAATCACATTATTGCTGTAATCTACGATAACTATTTAAACTAAATAATTTAAAAAGATTCACATTTAAATAAATTTGAGACAAATTTTGTTAAACATTTGAATGGTCTGAATATTAATAGTTCCTAAGTATTTGCCGTGATACTTAAACTTCTAGCAGTTTTCTTCATTCTTTCTATTTACATTTCCTTCCGTAACAATTAACAATCTCCCTTCACTTTGGATAAATGGATACTTATCACTAAGAATCACTGTTTGCATCTCGCCAAATGATCTCTTGCATCAACAACTTTATCAACAATATGTTGACAGCCAATTTTGCACTCGAGCTGATATGAACGAACCACGTGCATCTGTTAATGCTCAATCAAAGCTCCTCTTTCCAGATCATATCTTCAATTACAGTTTTCATTTCATTGCTTGCTGTATATCATCTCTTGTAAGTTATATCTTATATTTATCTAAGCTTGAGAAACTGTCTGCTCCAGATATTTATAAGTCTTACGATATTTTGATACACCCATTAGCCAGAAATCAAAATTGTCAACTGTCACTATATTTATGTATTTCTCTCTTGGTTTCTCAACATTCTCGCTTTGCCTCACACACTTTAACTTCTTCACCGGAATGGAAACCTGTACAGCATACACATATATGTACCTTTAAAAACCTTAACAAAATATTGGAATAGGAAAACTGAGAGCTATGAATAGGTTTGTTCCTGAATTACCTTATAGTGGATCCTACACATTTGCCCTTTCTGATTAAATACTTTTATTGATCTCTCACTACAAAAGGCAACCTTTTCAGTGGAGATGAAGAGGAGACCAGCTAGAGGGCCAGATGTGGTGGACAGATAACAATGGCAAACTTTCAACAGCCTCTCCCCCTCGACCACACTAAAATATTTCATGAACATTTTCTCAATTCCACCCATTTGAAGAATTCGAGCCCCTAAGCTCAAATTCCTTTTAATAGTTTCAGATATGCTTGTCCCTATATTAGTATCAGCCTTCCTGCTGCGCTTTTTCTGGTTAGAACATACTCTACCTGAAACATCGAAGCACTCTATGTTAGTAAAATCATCAATACTTAATGAAATTAGAGTAGATAATGGTGATTCGTCAGCCTGTACAGGAAAAGAAAGTCTTACTTATTTTATGAGAGGCAGAATCAAGCAAGTATCTGTTATCAGGCTTTTGAAACTGGTCATATATGACTGGAGTTCCAACAACTAGCTCGTGAAGAAGTGAGGTCTGCATCTTGAATGATTAGTAAGGTTTTTGTTTTGTTGAAAGGAAGCCAGGCTCGCTTGGTTTGATCAGTCCCTTTGTATTCTAAGGAGGTAGTGAATCTTGAGCCTTTTGTGGGATGACTCAACCATGATCTTGGTGATGTAATAAAGACACTACTTACATGGGAACTTGAAGGACTTTGTTCAAGATAATATTTTGATATCATGGATTGTTTGGTTACTTTTAGGTTAAGTTCATGCAGGTCCATCTGGAATGCATATGGAAATGATGTGGTAATTTCCTTTTCTCAGAAACATGTGCTCCATCTTTCAATTTCTTCAAATTAAGATGATTTTTATTCCAAAGGACAAAAAGGGTGTTCCCTATTGGTGGGAACGGCAACAGCAAATTGCCACATCAGTCACACGTATTTGGTTGCATGTTTCATTTTGTTACTATTTACAACTTATAAGTTATACAACCCTATTACAACCTTCATACACATTATCTTTTCTTGGATACCATTTTACATCCTCATTCACCTTTCTTTACTTTTTCCTTCTTAGTGTTACGGGCTCTACGATTCATTCTCTAAGTTATGTATATGTAGGATTTAGTCTATAGTAAACACCTTACAATCTCTTCACTTTTTCTTACATTATTATATCAAAGTAATTTAAACAAGGGTGGTATCTCAAAAAGCTTTGATGATCCAGTGTCATTAAGGGCATGGAGATGATGTGGGAGTGATTTGGATATATATTTCCTTTTCCACTAAACATTTAGTACATGATATCCTCGTCATCCTCAAATATTGATTGTTTACTTTTCCTTTACCAATTTTAGGTACCATGTGGTCATCAAATCCGGGGTCCCACAAGAGAGAGAACATTTTTTATTGGAATATTTTTTTTAAAAAACATATTTTGTGAGAGACACATTATATATTTATTTAAAATTTTAAGGTGATAGACATGCATATTGTGTCACTTATAAAGTGTTCAATTTCTGCTTTTCTAATGAATGTGAAACTTTCTCACATTTGGTTTTCTCAACGACTCACTTTTTTCTCAAAAAATATGACTGTGTATTCGTTTTTTTGTCTGTTAGCCATTGCACATTTTCTGCTATCTCACTATGGTATTCAGATTGAATTCTGGTGTCGACAAGGGTAGCTTCATGGTTTGATAGGAGTTATGCATGTTGTAGTCGAAGTCTGTTCAATCATGCTGTCGAAATATGTTTTTGTTTTAAAGCATGTCGAATTTGGTTATTCACTTGTAATCTTTGAACCCTTATTGAGAAAGTGAATAGTAAAATAATTTTAACCAATTATTCTTCTTTCTTCTTCTTTCTTTCATAAAACTTAATAGGGTTTCTTGTGTTTGCTCAAAAAAACCAATCGCTATCTCATAACTTTATTCTGTTATTAATGATATCGTTTCACAACAAACTGGTGCGGTGAGCGTGGGTGAGAAGATGTCGTCAACAAAGTATGAGATCAGGAAATTCATTAGTGTGAATGATTTATGTTTGTGGCGCTTAAAGATGCGAGTCCTTCTTGTTCAACATGGCTTGTTAGAAGTGTTGAAAGGATTGAGAAGATGGACGCTGCTCTATCAGAGAAGGAGAAAACAACGATGGTCAAAAAATCCCACAGTGTCATTGTATTGGGTCTTGGTGATAAGGTTTTCTAGTAGGTCTCAAAGAAGAAAATCGCAGCTGGTGTGTGGACGAAACTTGAAGGTTTGTACATGAAGAAATCGTTGGTTAGTCGTCTCTACTTGAAGCAAGCTTTGTGTTCATTCAAGATGATTGAATACGAAGTCTTGACTGAGCAGGTGGATATGTTCAAGAAATTGATTCTTGATCTTGAGAATATCGAGGTCAAGATTGATGATCAAGATCTAACGTTGCTTCTGTTGTGTTATTTATCTAAGTATCATGCTCATTTCTAAGAAGCTCTCTTGTATGGAAGAGATTTGTTGACCTTTGAAGATGTTCAATTTGCCTTGTACTCTAATAATTTGAACGAATGAAAGGAGTACAAGCCATCGACAATTGGTGAAGGTTTGTCCGTTAATGGAAAATTCTTGAAGAAAGATGGTAGGTTTGAGAAGAAGGGTAAATTCCTACATAATTCTTATGATGGTAATGTTCCTACTATTAAGTGTTATCATTGTAAGAAGGAGAATCATACAAGAAAAATATGCTCTAATTGACTGAACAATCATGGTGGAAAAGTAATATAGCCATTATGCAAGATGGTTATGAATCATCTGATGTCCTGGTGGTTTCAAGCAGAGACTCTAGCAAGGAGTGGATTATGGATTAAGGGTATACTTGGCACATGAATCCAAATAAAGACGTGTTTGAGGAATTGTGTGATCAAGATGGTGGGTCAGTGCTGCTGGGAAACAACAAAGCTTGCAAAATTGTAGGTATTAGATCTATGAGATTCAAACTCCATGATGAGTCAATAAGGCTACTGACCGATGTTAGGTATGTACCTGATCTTAAGAAGAATTTGATTTCTGTTGGTGAATTCGACAAGAAAGGATATGTTTTTAAAGGAGAGAAAAGTATCTTGAGGGTAATGAAGTGGTCGAAGGAAGTCTTGAGAGGCGTGAAGAAACAATGTGTGTATACCCTTGAGGCTGAGTTTGTAAGTGGTTCAGCAGATGTAGCATCCACGAAACCCATGTCAAAGACTGAGTTATGACACAAAAGACTCAACCATGTTAGTGAAAGAGGCCTGATTGAATTGTCGAAACAAAATTTGTTGTGTGGTGACAAGGTCGAAAAATTGGAGCTTTGTGAACCTTGTGTATTTGGTAAATCCTGTAGAATGAAGTTTAACAAAGATAAACAAAGAACACATTGATCCATTGATTACATTCATGTTGGTCTTTGGAGACCGCAAAGAATCTTTCACACTCAGGTGCAAAGTATTTTCTATCCATAGTTGACCATTACTCTAGAAAGTCATGGGTATTCATCCAGAAGACTAAGGATGAAACTTTTGAAAATTTCAAAAGTTGGAAGACTCTGGTCGAAAACTAAACTGGAAGGAAGGTCAAGAGGTTGAGGACCAACAATAGTCTTTAATTTTGCAATGAAGATTTCGACAACTATTCTACTGCATCTGGTATTGCAAGATACAAAACTACTACGGATACTCCCCAGTAAAATAGTTTGGCTGGAAGGTTTAATTGAACCATTCTGGAAATGGTTAGCTGCATGTTGGTTAGTGCAGGATTAAAGAACGTGTTTTGGAGAAAAAATTGATGTGACTGTAGCATACATGATAAATAGGTGTCCCTCGACTACTTTGGGAATGAAAACACTTGAAGAAGTATGGTCGGGACATCCACCTAATCTCGACAGATTTATAGTATTTGGCTTCTTAGCCTATGCTCATATAAGGCACGACAAGGTCGAACCTAGAGCTCTGAGATGTATGTTCTTTGGATAACTTGAAAGAGTCAAAGATTATAGGCTGTGGTGCCTAAAGTCAGGTCACATGAGGTGTAACACAAGTCGAGATGTAGTTTTCAATGAAGCTGAAATGACTTTAAAGAAAACTGTTGTCGTTGGTCGAAGTTCAAAGATCTCTGAAGAAGAGCTAGAACATAAAGAGATTCCTGTTGAGGTGAAATATAGTGATGCTGAATTGCATAACCCAAATGAAGTCAAAGAAGAAACACAAGGTGCCGATGAAGATGAGGAGACTGATAATGACTACCTGTTGCGAGAGACATGTTGAACAAAGTCATCAAGCCACCTCAGAGATTTGGTTATGCAAATCTCATAGATTATGCCTTAATCTCTGCAAGTGAGGTTCTGGATGAAGAACCTAGAGACTATAAGGGAGTTGTGAGGAGTCGAGATAAGATTAAATGGTTGAAAATCATGGATGATGAGATGAAACCTCTTCATGATAATAACACTTGGGAATTGATCGAGAAACCTGTTAGAGTCAGGTTAGTTAACTTTAAGTGGACTTTCAAGGTTAAGTAAGAAATTGAAGGAGTGATGTCGAAGAGATTTAAGGTAAGGTTGGTTTCTAAGGGTTTCACTCACAGAGAAGGTGTTGACTTCAATGATGTGTTCTCGTCTGTTGTAAAGCATAAATCCATTCATATTCTTCTTGCTATGATGGCGAAGTTCAACCTAGAAATTGAATAAATGGATGTGAAGATAGCCTTTCTGTATGGTGATTTAGATGAGACAATCCTGATGAGGCAACCTGAAGGGTATGTAGAAAAGGGAAAAGAAGATTATGTGTTCAAGCTGAATAGGTCTTTGTATGGCCTGAAACAATCTTTTCGACAACGGAGTAAGAGATTCGGCAAGTTCATGGCACACATAGGTTTCACTAGGAGCCAGTTCGACCATTGTATTTACTTCAGATTTCGACCTTGAAGTTCATTTGTTATTTTGTTGCTTTATATGGATGACATCCTCATAGCAAATAACAGTGTCAAAAATGTTATAAAGGTGAAGGCTGATCCCATAAGAAGTTCGACATGAAGGATTTGGGAGTTGCCTTCTGAATTCTTGGGATTGACATCTGGAGAGATAGAAAGCAGTCGAGATTATACTTATATCAAGAGACATATCTGAAGAAGATTATCGACAAGTTTGGTATGTCGAATTCAAAGCATGTTCTAACACCGATTAATCCTCAGTACAAGCTGAGTACGACTCAAAGTGTTAGTACTGAAGTCGAAGAAGCCTATATGAATAGCATTCCATATGCTAGCATAGTAGGTTCTTTGATGTATGATATGGTCTGTATGAGGCCAAACATAGCGTACGGAGTAAGCCTTGTAAGCAAGTATGTGGCCAATCTTAAGAAGGCGCATTGCAAGCATTAAAGTGGATTCTTAGGTACATTAATGGGTTTTTGAGCAGAGTTCAGATTTATGGTGGAGCTTGTGGTGATGATAACAAATTCAAAATTGAAGGATTTGTCGACTCTGATTATGCAGGCTGTATGGATTCTAGAAAATCTATGTTTGGAT